GCAGGTTCGCAAGCAGGACGGTGTCGTGTTTTCCTGCTCTAGTCACTAGTGGTTTACCTCTTTACTAGCACATCTTCACAATTTGAGAAGAAAGGCAACAGGACACAACAGGAGGAACAATACACAGAGCCCTGGATTCTAATCAAAACTCTCCCACCAACTAGCAAAATAATTCTAGGAACTTGGTGTCAAAAATCCTAAAATGAGATCATGAACAAGAAACTTTTGAAAATTATAAAGTATAATATAATCATAAAGCAGCTCTTTCATCCTGTTAATAACCAGTTGTGTTTCCTTTGCAAAGTTCCTAAATGTCACAGTGGGAGGAACTTGGGTTCAGACACAGTAACCCAAAACAGACAAGGAACTCTTGTTACATCATGAGAGAATTGACTATTTGTGTTTAAAATAATATTTGTGTAAAAGATATTTAAATAGTTCTAGAATTCAATTTCTATAATGCTATTTCAAAAAGAACTACATACAGCAGATTTTATTATAATAAGTTTTTGAACCTATAAAAATGGATTTTCCCCCTTTAATACACGAAATGTTTAAGCCATTACAGGCAAAGTCAACCCCTCCCTCCAAAGGGAGCTAAAAATTTTATAAATAAAATAGAACTCAAACCTGGCAAAGAATTGGCAGTCTCAGTACCTACCTTCTTTTTTAACCCAGGTCAAATCAAAGATTTGGATAACTTTTCCTGACCCCGATTCCATAAATTGTAATTTTAATGGACTATACAAGAAGTGATGTCTGTGTCTGGCCACAGCAATACCAGGGAAACAAGAAGACATCTGTCATCTTTATTGTCCTGTGCTCTGCAGCCAGCTGAGGAATGTCCCCATCAGAGGAGCAAGTGGGCAGGCAGGCACGGGCGGTGTCACCCCGCAGCACAGCCACCTCCTTTGGGCATCACATTCCGACTTTGCTCCACAGTAAAATGCAGTACATGCAGCAGCACAGGCCGCTTTTCTTAGGGTAGGAAAAGAATGAACTCAGTTAAAGTGGTTGACATTTTTCTCATTTTTGAGATGTCACATTTTGCATTATTCTTTTTATTTCTGGGAGAAGGGAAACTTTGTAATTCTGTGTAAGTTCTCATAATACCACAGCACAAGCAAAAATATAAGAGTCGAATTCTTCTAAACTCATGAATGCTAAGAAAAGTTTGAATTCTGCTCTCCCAAAGGGACACTACATTTCAGTCAAATTGTGAAAATATCACCTGACTTGGCCCCTAGGAACTGCTAGAATGGGGAGACATGGGTGGCCCGAATTCCGAATTCAGGGGCCAGCCTCGCAGGAGGCTATGCGTGGTCTGGGTCCTCCTATTTGCAGGGGCCTGCCTGTCTCTTTCCCTTCTGTGTCCTAGGAGCTGTGCTTAGGTCCCCCACCTGATGGCTGCTGTATCAGTCACCATTTTACAAAAGCAAAAGAAATGCCAAATAAGAAAAGGCAACTTGTAAAGGACAATGAAGAGCTATCTGCTCCCGCCGCTGGTTCCCCAACCAGCCTGCAGCGCTGCGTAGACCAGCACATGTTTAAAGCCACCACGTCATTCTGTCCAAGTGAATGTCCACTGTGCCCAGCTCTGCTACAAACGCAGTTTGAATCAGTATATAAGTACTACTTTGCCATTATTCTTAACCCATTAGAGCCAAACACATGTGAAATGTAAAGGTATGATTTTATGAAAACTCACATTTGAAAATATTTGTTTCCCTCATTTTCTGTGTATCAGAAATATTCAGTTGATTGTAGTAACTAAGATTGGTCTCTTCTGTGAATCAAAGGTATATTACCTATTGGGCAGGAAAGACGGCCTTTTTCTACCTGCTTAATTTCTAAACACAAAACAAGCAGTGATCACAGCTTATGGCAAAACGTGGGTGGGTTTTGATTCAGTAGAATTTTTCATCTCAAATATTCACCGTCTACTAGTAAAAGGCAATGACACAGATTCTTTTACAATTATAGGCTCATCCACTACGAGGAGGAGAAACTCCCGCTAGATGAAGTACTCTGATGTTTTCCTTCAATACACAAGGAGCACAAAGAGACTGTAGTCCATAGAATAGAAGGGAATTAACTGTTAATTTTTAAAAATTCTGCGAAACAAATACCTAAGTGTGATCCAGATGAAATATGAAAGCACTGCCTGGGAAAACAAAACTCAAAATGAACAATGTCGAAGTTGCTGATACATTTACCATTTTAGGAATTAAAGCAGGGATTCTCAACCAAGTCAATGTCTTGCGACATCTGCGGTTATTTTTGGTTGTCATGCTTGGGTGGACAGAGGCCAGGGAAGCTGGCTAAATATCCTACGACGTACAGGAGAGCCCCCTAACGACAAAGAATGATCCAACCCATACATCAACAGTGGCAAGGGTGAGAAACCCTGAATTAAAGGTCATACCCCATTGTGGGTTTCACACGTTCATTCACTCACTCATTCACTCAATCAGCAGAGCGCTGTCAAACACCCCGCGTGCTGTGCCGGGCTCAAGGACAGCAGGTGCAGCAATAAAAAACCACCAGGCCGAGCTCTGAATCCAGGGCTAGTCAATTAAAATGCAAGCATAAGTGGCTACTGGGATTTCAGAAGACTGAGAGCTGGTGCACTCTGGGTGTGGGACGCAGAAGTCAAGTCCTGAGAGGTGGGCGAGGCAGGTGGTGGACAGTTAAGAGGGAACAGCACGTGGGCCCCATGAGAGGGAAGGAGGCCACGGGACCTCTCAGGTCTGGGGCCACCAACTAAACATTTTCAGGGACAGACACTATGACAGGTGTCAACAAACTCTGTGGCTGGGTGTCCCCAAACTGACTCAGGCTTACGGGTGTGCCCATAGATCTGGAAAGAAAGAAGAGGAAAAGGAAGAGGCAAAGTGCCAGAAGGAAGATAAAGACAAGATGAAAAAGGAGAGGAAAGGCAAAAGGAAGAAGAAATCGTGGGGAGAGCTAGATGATCAGCCAGTGTGGGACCCCCTGCAAGGCACAGGTGTCACTAGGCAAGGGACAGCGCTGGCATTGGAGCCACAGAAAAGAGGCCAGGGCCTTTTAGCACTGGATATTGCTAGTTGAAAGAAAGTCAGTCATTTTTTCCATACCTCCCCCTCCAGCCCATGTAAATCTGAATCCCTACTCTCATTTCTCAGTGCAGGGGTCTCATGTGAAGGACTGTGGCTGCTCCCTGAGCTCTGGCAAGGAAACTGAGGACAAGAGCACAGGATTACATCCCCACGGGGAGACGTGAATGTCACAGGGAGGGAAAAGAGCAGCACTGAGAAAGCAGCCTTGCTATGGTCTCATACGCAATGTCTACAACTCAGAAAGAAGGTTACAAAGGTCCCTATGCATGTTTTTAAAACATTATTTACTTTTTTTTTTATTCTGGGGGTATTCTAAGACACCATATCCTGATTCTCTGCAACCTGGAGCTATCTTTAAATCTTCTTGCCTCTCTGATCATTTAGGCTCAGAAAGAAGGTTACAAAGGTCCCTATGCATGTTTTTAAAACATTATTTACTTTTTTTTTATTCTGGGGGTATTCTAAGACACCATATCCTGATTCTCTGCAACCTGGAGCTATCTTTAAATCTTCTTGCCTCTCTGATCATTTAGCTCAGATAATTTTCTGATATTAAATATCTTTTGGTAAATAGCCTTCTTCAATTTCTGCTTTTCTTTTTTCCCCTTTTTCTCCAAGTGTTTTTCTGGCTAAGACTGCATCTTCTTCCTTCTTCTCTTCCCACTTCCTAGTTCTTTATTCAGTTTTGGGAATCCCAAAGACTAAATTGGCTGAGACCTGCCTCAGTATCTGACTCTCAAGACTGTCCACTTATAAATGGAATTATGCCCTATATGAGACTAGCTTCTTTCACTCATCATCAGTAATTTCACTCATCAGTAGTTTTCCTTTTCTACCACTGAATAGTATTCTATTGTAAGCTGTATTGCAGTTTATTCATTTACTTATTGAAAGACACTCAGATTGCTTACAGATTTGGCAACTATTAATAAAGCTGCTATAAACAAATAAACAAATAAGAAAGGCAGAGAAGCAAGCAATGAAATTGGGTACAATAAAGTGCATAACACCCTTTTATAAATAGAGATAGTGGAACCATCTTTTGCCAGTGTTCTCTCCATGTGCTATACTCTTCCCCAAACTCTTGGCCCTGGGACCAATTTTGCACAGCAAGCCCTCTTCGCTACTCTGCGTGTATCTGCTTTCTTCTTTACCCCAAAGTATAATTCACCATTGGAAAAGCCCAAGCTCCAATGGAGTAAGAAGATCACTAACAGAAATAGAAGTGTTAAGCCTGGGTATCAGCTGCAGGAGAATCTCCTCAAGATGACCGTGTACGATTTCCTCAAAGACACACAGACTTCCTAGGAAGGCAGAGTCACGCCTCTCATTGAGGCAGCCAACTGTGTAAAAGTAGGCCTGCGTGTGCATGGTTGCTCAAGAAATGCATTTCCAATCATAGATATAAACTCTTCTTTCCACAGGATCTCTGGGATGTAGATTTTATTATGAAAAGGGAGAAAATTTATTATAAAGGATATGTTAAAATAAGTCATAATGAATAAATATTAAATTATATTTGGTATACTAATTTTATGTATCATATAGTCACTTACTCCAGTTAGACATAAAATATTAAAAGGGGAAATTAAAATATTTTTTAAATGCATGCCCCTATATTTTCAAATAATATCATAATCCATTTCATATCTTAGTCTAACTGACTGAACATTTAAATTAGTTCTGATCTTATGCTCTGATTCCTTTATGAAAACAATAGATTGCCTGGGTAACTTTATTTTATCACTAAAAACTTGAGAATTTACTGTATAGAAATTTTGAATCTGGATTTTTTCACTTTGCATGGCATCGTAGTCAGGAATACCCTTCATATCAAAATGCTTTCTAGGCCGTCCTTTAGAACAGGGTGGTGAGGGCCACTCACAACCACACCCTTCTTACCTGTGATTTGCCCTTGCTGTAACAGGCCTTCTTGGTAGCGTCATCACACTCCCACTCCACAGCCTGTAGAAAACACCAAAACAACAGCAACTATTACGGCTTTGACTGAACGAAAGAGAAAAGAAGATAAGGCAGCGGTAACCAGATTAGGAAATATGGGTACAGTCTAGCACCAACATTTTCATACTATATAGAATTTATACCGACTACATGAAACGCAGTCATGGGCTTATATTTAGCTCTAAAATTATGGCATTTTAAAGAATTTGTCCCCTGATTACTTGCTTTTCTTTGGTGGCTGGCTGGTACAGGGATCAAACCCTGGACCTTCGTGTTATCAGCACCATGCTACAACCAATGGAGCTAACCAATCAGCTTCTGTATTTGCTTTTAAGTAGTAATAATGTCACACTTAGATCTATTCGCTCTTAGACAAGTGCAATGAGATGGTGACAATGGCATTGATTGCAAAAACTATCACTTCAGTGAAACCACAGAATCGATCTAGAGGAGGCTGAAAGAGAGGCCTTGAAATAAAATAATCTAAACATTCATTTAAACATTTATATTTTACATTAACAGTATATCATTTATCAATATTCATAGATAACAAAATAAACATGATTTTGTATATCCTTACTACCAAGATGCCTATAAAAATGATTAACAGTCAATAAATAAATAGTTCATGCAAAGAGCACAGCTACAATTCCCCCTTATACCAGTCATTTTCCTACTATTAATAGTTCTGACAAAATATTTAGAGCCACAGCTATTAAATATTTCTTCTCAAAATATCAAACACATGCTGATCAATCTGATATGCGTACTTTCAAATCTCACGCTAACTCACCAACAGAATATGTGATTAGTTAAGATATTAGAGGACACTTGCTTCACAGGAAGAAAGGATGCCTACAAACATTAATGGCCTAGATACTGGGACTGTGAATCATCATCGCAGCACTCTTCACAATAGCCAAGAGCTGGAATCAGCCCAAATGTCCATCATCGGATGAGTGGATACGGAAAATGTGGCATATCTACACAATGGAATACTACTCAGCTATAAAAACGAATGAAATACTGCCATTTGCAACAACATGGATGGACCTTGAAAGAATAATATTAAGAGAAACGAGTCAGGCAGAGAAAAAGAAATACCACATGTTCTCACTTATTGGTGGGAGCTAAAAAAAAAAAAAAAAAACAAATTAATCCACCCACATACACACACA